CGGGCGAACGCTCCAACTCCCAGGAGCGCAGCAGCGTGCCCTGGGGAGCCAGCCGGCCGCGGTCCACCTCCAGGGACGGGCGCAGCGGAAGCCAGGGACGCGCCTCCCGCCAGTCTCCTTCTCCGACAGGTGCGGGAGGGGCCGAAAAGGGCTGTCTTTTTGACCGCCAATCTTTGCAATTGCTCCATAAGTAAATGTTGCTCTTGGGAGGGATGGGGAGGGGGGTGGCCAGGAGCTCAAGAATGCCACCCTGTCACTAGTTTCTATTTGGCTTCTTGCAAATATTCTGCTTCTTTTGCATCAAGCTCCTTTTCTCTCACGTGAGGGACTAGAGCCTTTTCCATTTGCTGAAAAAAGGGGATTTTTGACACTTGCTGGCAAACAGGATTGTAAATGTTTTATTAATGGTTGGTGGGCTGGGAGGATTTACTGTAAATTGCCAAACCCTCTACTAATAGTAGTTACTCTATAGCAATGGAAGAGAGTATTTGTAGATCAGGGTTGGATTGAGGGGTCCTTGGTGCTCCTTGAGCTTGATGGTTTCCTTCCTTCTTTTCCCTCCTTCCCTTTCCTTCCTTCCTTCCTTCCGTTCCTTCCTTCTTTCCTTTCCTTCCTTCCTTCTTTCCTTTCCTTCCTTCCTTCCTTCCGTTCCTTCTTTCTTTCCCTTCCTTCCTTCCGTTCCTTCTTTCTTTCCCTTCCTTCCTTCTTTCCCTTCCTTCCTTCCTTCTTTCCCTTCCTTCTTTCCTTTCCTTCCTTCCGTTCCTTCCTTCTTTCCCTTCCTTTCCTTTTTTCCTTCCTTCTTTCCTTTCCTTCCTTCCCTCCCTCCCTCCCTCCCTTCCTTCTTTCTTTCCTTTCCCACCCTCCCTCCTGCTTGGTGCTGTCTGAGCTTGTAGATGTTTCATGACCCAACTAGGTTACATCATCAGTGCTAGAAGGGAGGGGAGGTTTGCCGAGAGGAGGAGGAAGAGGACTGTATGGCTCTTGGTAGTCTCTGAAATTGGTGGCTTTCTTGCAAGACGTCTAATGACCCAACTAAGTTACACCATCAGTGCTAGAAGGGGGTGGGGTTTGGTGGGGGGGAGGAGGAGGACTGTGGGGTCTTTAGTGGTCCCTGAGCTTGGTGCTTTCCTTTCAGACCTTTCATGACCCAACTAGGTAACAACATCCGTGTTAGGAGGAAGGGGAGCTTGCTCTCTTTTTTAATCCATCTTTTGACCACTTCTCTGCCCAGGAAGTAGCCAATTTGTGACGATTTGCTTTTCCTTGTGGGGGAAGGCCCAGCCTTTTATCTTGCTTTTTTTTTTTAGCTCAGGCTATTATTTAAAAATTAAGATTGACTGGGAATCATCCTGTCCTGTAGCCGAAATGGATTTTTCCTTACCACGCCGTTCCTCTTTTCCCACCGCAGCTCTCCGGGCCCCTCGCTTTGATCCCACCGCTTTCGTGAAGGCCAAGGAGCGGAAACAGAAGGAGATCGAACAGAAAAAGTGAGTGCGTTTCCCGGCTTTGTCTCTCCAATCCAGGAAGCAGATTACTGGTCCACCCCTGGCCTGAATGACCACTAAGCCACGGGGCAGAGGGCCACGTTGGTGAATTAAAAATAACCTCAAGGCTCAAATGAATGGCTGCCCCACGAATCAGCCGCTAGTTCTCTCTCTGCGTGGTGTATTTTGGAGCAGTGGCGACATTTGGCCATGGGGGGATGTAATTAAGTTGAATGTTTAATTTAATGTTACTTTATTTATCACATTTCTACACTTCCCATCTCACCCAAGTGGCTCCGGGAGGTTTAGAGACAGCATAATAACAGGGAAACCTGTCCCTTAAAAACAAGATTTAAAATTGACAAGCGGAAAGTAAGACACTAAAGATATCGTGCCGATCGGCTCTACGCCTTGTCGGATACCGGAACCGAAAAGGTGATCATTCCGTTTTCCGGTTTTCCTTTCCAGCAAACGGAGTCTTCATCGGGCCATGGGAGACACCCCTCCCAGTGGCTGGTACCACCACACCCAGCTCAGGGGCGCCTCGGCCCTCCCCGGCGGAAGCAACCATGGGAAGCCGCGCGGCCGCAGCTCTTCAGGTATGGCAGATGCTCCAAGCAGGGGTCTCCAACCTTGGCAACTTTAAGATGTATGGACTTCAACTCCCAGAGGTTGGCTGAGGGATTCTGGGAGTTGAAGTCCACCAGTCTTAAAATGGCCAAGGTTGGCGGAGGGATTCTGGGAATTGAAGTCCACAGTCTTAAAGTTGCCAAAGTTGGAGACCCTGCCCCAAAACACCACTCTCTCTTTTTCCCCCCAGTGGAAAGTTTCCGCAGCAAACGCACCTCGGCCAGCTCAGGGAGTGAGATGGAGGATTATTCGGAACCCGTTGCACCAAGGTAAGGGACGGGGCATTGGGGGTGTGGGGAGATGGGGCTTCTTGTAATGGGGGGTGGGCATGGGGATCTGCTAAGATGATTCTGGCAATCTGTCTACTAAAACTTCCAACTTTTAACTTTTCTCTCCCCGATTCCTCTGCATGTAATAGCAACGTATCTCAAGTTTGGTAAATTTAAGCTGGGTGGACTTCAACTCCCAGAATTCTCCAGCCAGCCAAGAGGAAAGGCCTCTGGGAATTGAAGTCCCCACATCTTAACATTCATCAGCAGGCTAGCTGGGGAATTCTGGGAGCTGAAGTCCAAATATCTTAAAATTCATCGTTAGGATGGCTGGGGAATTCTGGGAGTTGAAGTCCACACAAATTAAGCCAGGTTTTAGAAAGACTCTTCTAGACTGCCCACTGAACGTGGCTCTTTAAGCCACGTAGAACAGAATGTTCCCCATAATTAAGATATGACACGTGTACAATTTCACCGTCCGTGCGGCCTCTTCTAACGGATTCTGTCCTTGTTCGTTTAGAGGCAGGAAACGACTAGGCAGGAACAGGAAGCCCTTCAGCTCTTCGTCTTGGAACGGCCCCACGGCGGTGAGTGGTCAACGGAGGTTCCTCCTTCCCTAAGCTGGCCTTGGGTTCAAGGAGAGCCCTCCGAGAGGGTCGGGGACAGACCCTGTGATAACACCCCACCCCCCATCCCCGATTCTTGTTCTCCATTCAGGGTCCCCGTGTGGACAAAGCTCACAAGAAACGCTTCTCAAGCACCCCAAACACAGGGAAGGCCAGGGGGAAAGGCAGAACGGCTGGCGTCTCGGAGGAGACCTTGGAAAACTCAGGTGGGTGGGCGTCTCTGCCTCCAGCTGCTCCCTTAATTTATTTAGATCTCCCCGTCGTTTTTATGAATAACTCAAGGTGACAAGCACATTTAACACACCCTCCTCCTGTCGTCCTCACAACAACGACAACCTTGTGAGGTCGCTTGGAGCTAGGAGGTCAACCCAAGTTTGGCCCAGCTGGCTTTCACGTCTTAAGGCAGGACTCGAACTCACCGTCTCCCAGGTTCTAGCCTGATGGCTTAACTCAGTGTTTCTCAACCTTGGTGACTTTAAGTCCTGGGGACTTCAACTTCCAGAATCCCCCAGCCAGCTCTCGCTGGCTGGGGAATTCTGGGAGTTGAAGTCCCCAGGACTTAAAGTCACCAAGGTTGAGAAACACTGGCTTAACTACTGCTGGGGAATTCTGGGAGTTGAAGTCCCCAGGACTTAAAGTCACCAAGGTTGAGAAACACTGGCTTAACTACTGGACCAAACTGGCTTCCTGCTGATTGAAAGTCCCACCTTGAAATAACTGCTTTGAGGAAGGTGGGGTTCCTTTGGACCAGTCCCACTTCCCCACTGCTGTTGTAACACACACACACACACACACACACACACAAAAGCAAACACACACAAAGAGTTAGTTAGCTACATTTCAGCCTCAACGCACAAGGTAGAAGTTGTCACTCACGGCTGCCTTCTGCCTCCCTCCTCTTTCCGGCCTGAAACGAAGGGTGACACCTTAAGTCACATGGCTGGTTTGGTGCTCGTCCCTTTTAGTAATTGTCACAACTCCCGGGACCGATTAATGACAAGAACCGAGGCTGCACTGTGCTGGTGCTTCACATGGGCAAGATTGACGCCAGGCTTCCCCCAAAAAATATTGAGAAAGGACCCGCAGCTTTTGTGTTGCGATTTTGAGTCCCCGAATGGGTTGCTTCCCCGTCGGCCCCTTCCCCATCTGATCCTGTCGTCTGCCCCACCCGACAGAGAACCTCTACGAGGACCCCTCGGCGGATCTCTCCGAGATCGACGCCCGTCTCCAGGCGCTGCAGGAGTACATGAATAAGCTGGAGACCCAGACGTAGCCCGAGCGATGGAGCCGAGCCGGCGCGATTCCTTTTGCCTAGCTAGGTCTGGTCCAAACGTAGAAGATGCCCCTGCTCTCGCTGTCCTGCTCGCCCGTCTCCCTTCTACGTCCTCGAGGGGGAGGGCGGGGCAGGGGGACAGACAGCGGCTGCCTTGCAAAATCCCAGGTTTGAAAGCCTTCCTACGAACAATTTCATTAAAGTTTTCTAATAACAACAATGAAGAAAGTTTTCCTTCTTGCAAAACCCCCTTTTTTTAATAAGTGGACTTCCAACTCCCAGAATTCCCTGACCGGCCCTGCAGTCAAATTGGCCATGGCTGCATTTTATTTATTCATTTATTTGTTAAATTTATAGGCCGCCCAATCCTGGAGGACTCCGGGCGGCTTACAAAGAAAAGAAAAAAAAGAAAATCAAAATAAAAGAATAATTTAAAAATTCCCAACACGCATAACATTTCTAATCGGGGCTGGACCTTAACAATAAGGTCAACAGCCCCAGGCCTGCCGGAACAGCCAGGTCTTAACAGCTTTCCTGAAGGCCATGAGGGTGGGTGAGGTCCGGACCTCTGGGGGTAGTTGGTTCCACAGGGTCGGAGCAGCCACAGAGAAGGCTCTCCTCCGGGGGCCCGCCAGCCGACACTGTCCGGCTGACGGCATCCGAAGGAGGCCCAATCTGTGGGATCTTATCGGCCATTGGGAGGTGTGTGCCACTTCGCATCCTCTCTCTTTATCTGAGGGCAACGGTCCTCTTGGCGACCTGGCTGGGGGGAGGTTGCACACGCTGGTCAACTTGCGCACGGTCAGCTGTGTGCGCCGGCCTCCCCCCCCCTGGTGTGAGTTGAGCTGCATGCGTGTCCATTGGTTTGACGCTTGTGGGGCCCACCCCCAAGTCCATTTGACAGGGATGGTTAAGCTTTTATGCATATGCGTCAGTGACCACCACACGGGGGAGGGGGCATTCCCACCCTCCGGAGGGTCCAGAGGCTTTCCTGAAGCCGGAAAAACATGCCCAACGGGCCAACCGGAAGTTCAGCTGCCGAGCCGGCAAATGTGTCTCTTCCATAGTTTCTCCATCCCAGTCCTATGACATTCTCCTTTACACGTCTATTTTTTTAAAAATCTGCTTTCTTCAAGTCCCATTCAGCCTTGATTTCCCCAAATATCGGAATTCCAGCAAATTGCAGCGCGTTGAACTTAGTTCCATTTCCCTCACCAAATCATCCCGAGGGGCTTAGGAAATTTGGACAGCCACAAAAAGAAAAGAGACAACTTTTATTGGAAAGGGGGTTTTGACCACCCTCCACCCCCAAAATGAAATCCAGGGGGGGGGGGCTTAAATCAACCCCCGAAACGACAGGAAGGAATGCGTCCTTAAAGCCCCACAGTGGAAAAACAAAGTTATACCACAGCAGGTGACAGGAGAGGAGGAATGTTGCTTGGAAAAACACACAAATGCTTTTCTCTAAATAACGACAAAGTTTGCACGGCAAGAGAAGGGCCGAGGCAAGGGGTGCGCAAACCTTGGCGACTTTTAAAAATGATGTGGACTTGAAACCCCAGAATTCCTCAGCTGAATCCAAGGTTGGACACCCCTAGGCTAAGGTCAAAAAGTCCCTGATGTGCTAGCTTTTTACTTGCAAGAAATGGGCAACAGGAAATGCTCAGAAAGGGCATCCTGTCCCCTCCGTGTTTATAAATCGCCGGATTCAAGGATGCTTTCAATTTTGAAAGAGGAGCGTGCGCCACCCAGTGATTTCCTGAGATAAATAAAAGTCCGGATTTTAATTTTTTTTTAAAAGCCCCACTTTTCTCAGAAGAAAAAAATAAGGGGGGGGGGGTTAGGAGTCTTAGGACCCCTTGTCCACTCCAGGGGATCAAGCACTGGGGCTTTCCGCCGACTACTTCAAGCCGTGCTTGGTTTCGGTAGAAAATCTGGATTGAGCAGGCGGCCAACTTTGGCTGTGCCCAACGGCTCTTGCGAAGAGCGAAAGAAGCCCACCCCTCCTCGAAGCTTCGCTCTTCTAAGACGCCCCAGACCATCCCAGTGGCAGGACAGAGCCAATCCTGGATCTTCTCGCTCAACCGTGTTGTCATGGGCGGTTCCTACCAGCGGGAGGCAGCCGCGCATCCCACCGCCTTCGTGGTGGCTCCTCCAGAGCGCCAAGAAGACCCCACCCATCTCCTGTCCCATTATCCACAGCATGGCGAGCCTCTCTGGCTCTTGGGCCACGGCCACCCCCTCCCGCAAAACCATCGTTTTCATCGCATCCACGCCGGGTAGAACCGCGGAGGCCTTGGACGATGGGAAGGGCCTCCGTCCGCCTTAGAGGCCCAAGTATTCCGCCAGGAAGGTAGCCAGGATCTTACTCAAGTTCTCAACGGTCGGGCGGTCCAGGTTGGCTTCGGTGTCCTCCAGCGTGTGCCAGACCCTGGGGAACGGGGTGGCGATGAGGTGGAGGACCGGAACGCCTGTCACAAATGCACAAAAAACACAAACACATCAACACACACGGTTTTGTCTAGTTTTGAAAGAGCCGAGGTGCTGCAGTGGCTAGGGTGCAGTACTGCAGGCTACTTCAGCTGACTGCAGTTCTGCAGTTCGGCGGTTCAAATCTCACCGGCTCAAGGTTGACTCAGCCTTCCATCC